ATATGTTTTTCTCCAATCCACGGAGAGCGTTTCGTTTCATTCTGCTGCAACGAAATCCGAGAGCCTTCCGGCCCTGCCTAGCCGGGTCGTCTCGGTGGAACGCAATGCCTGGATTCCCGAATTCGCATCGATGTTTCCGAGCGGCAGTGCGCCGTGGAGTTTGACTGAGTCGCAATACGGAGAGGGAATGATGGAATGCGGAGCGGGCGGGGTTAGTGGAAAGGTGGTAGGGGGGGGGGGGGCTGTAAGGGGCACCCTTGCCGTTCTGCGAACGGGCGGTACAGTCGCAGTCAAAAAGAATGCTTCGCGTAAAACTGTAAGACTCCGACCCACGACTTCTTTCCCGAAGGATGAATGAGTACACGAGCAAGGCTGAGTACACAATACTAGACTCGTCACTTTCTCATTTTTAAACATTTTGGAGCGTTTTTAGGCTTAATGTCGCGTTTTAGGTGACAACGCGAAATCGTGCGAAACGTTTTAAACTCGTGGGTTCACTGGATACGGGCCAATTTATACGCCTGACACTCAAAATATCTCGGAATAGAATTTGAGCTATGTTTCAGTAAATTCGGCGAAAGCATCTTTTTAGTATTTTCAGATACAAAGAATCGCAAAGAATAACCTTCGCAATGCGAAGAAAAACAACCTTCGTATTTTGCTTGCGCTATTTCCTTCGACTTGTGCGGGAAATTTCTTAAGACATTGAGAGTAGGGTACACTTGTGATTCACCCCTCGTTCTCTCCCCACCACGCCCTCACCGCGCCACAATGCGTGGCCGTGACGTGGTGGCGGCACAACGCTTCTCGGCCGCTACGCTGTAAAGGGGTAGTGGTAACGGTCTCATAATGCGCGCACGGGCCGGGGAGGCCGGGGGTGGGGGAAGTACTTCGGTCAGTAATTACCCACCGTGTGCTCGGCCGGGCCTGGGGCCGGGCTCGGCAGACCTCGTCTTATTCGGGGGAAACTGCCAGAGGCCTTGCCCGAAGCTTGGCGGGGTCAGAGGCGTACCCACGCGGTTCTAAGAGGCTCCCACAGAGTTAAAAAGATAATCCTAGGAAGTATTTTGACGAGCATCCACGCAATTCTTTGAATAATGCACGAGACTCTACAGACTCTACATACTTACGTTTCAAAATCACGGTCACTTTTATCAACGATTCTTTACGAAGTGAGTGTCTTTGTAGAAACATGCAGTGTTCGTCGTGAGGCCTGGACAAAAGATTGGAAGGTTTCACTCTGGCTACTCCACTCATGAGAGTCGAGGCAAAGAGCTATGGCAGAAACCTTCTAACCTCTTCCAGTGGCACGACTTTCCGCTGACTGATTCCACAAGCATCCCTCTTGCCACGCGTGCAAGAGACGGAGCGAGGGGGGCTGTGTGTGGAAGCAGCCTGCTGGGTCCACCGTTGGCGCACAGTGGGCCAGAAAACCGGCGGAGGCGGCCAAAACTCTGGACGCGTTTTGAGCCCCAGAACCGCTTAACAGGACTCGAACCGAACGTGTGACCCTACCAATGGATTCCTCGTTCGGAGATCAATCCATTGGTGGGGTAACACGTTCGGTTCGAGTCCCATTTAGCGACTCTGGAGCTCAAAACGCGTCTAGAGTTTTGGCCGCCTCCACCGGTCTTCTAGCCCACTGTGTGGCGCCGGGTCCACTGGCCAGGGACGACCGGAGTGTTTACATACCTCTCGCCGCGCCTCTCGCAGCCGCTATCGATTTATCTAAAGCCACTGAGTTCCCACTGGGGGGACCGACGCGTGTAGCCGAGGGCGGCCGGGGGCGGCCCGGGGCCTTGGACTGAGGCGGGGGCAGACGGCGAAGCGGGGGCGGGCAGCGGGGGCGGCAGCATGGTCCCCGGGGGCAGTTGTTACGTCCTGCGACCAACCCTCCAGGAGAAACGGGAACGGAGGCGGGGGAGTGCACTTTGGAACATCTTCGAAGAAATTTCCCATATTGGAAGGAAATGGCGCAGCATAATTCTTCGTATTTCGAAGGTCTTCCTTTGAGGCCCCCACTGGAACAATCTGTGTACGCAGGGCGCAGAGACGTGTGAAACGCGTTTAAGTTGGCAAAAGGCGCGACTGAATCTTAAAGAATCTCAAAGAGTGCAACTCGTTAGAACCACGGGAAGAGCAGCATTCTGAGTACGGGGCCCTCTCGGATTTTTCAGCATCTGAGAATGAAAATGGGAGCAAACATTCTTACTGGGGAGAAATTTTGCATCGCATTTAGGCTTGAGCCAAATGTGGCATGGCTTCACGGGAAGACATTTCGCGTGTGGCCGCGATGATGATAGATACAGCATGGTTGCTTCATTTGATTCCAAAGCCCATCGTGGCACTGGGCTGGCATGCCAATTAAGGCGAGTGGTGGGAAACAAAGACCTCTGTGAGCGAGGAGCGCGCCTCCGCACAGTGGGCCAGAAGACCGTTGGAGGCGGCCCAAGTTCTAGACGCGTTTTGAGGTCCAGAGTCGCTAAACAGGGCTCGAACCAAACGTGTGACCTCACCAATGGATTCATTGTTCGGAGAGCAATCCATTGGTAGGTTCACAAGTTTGGTTCGAGACCCGTTTAGGGACTCGGGAGCTCAAAAGGCCTCTGGAATTTTGGCCGCCTGCGCCGGTCGTCTGGCCCACTGTGCTCCGGTCGTGGAAGAGGATCTCCCGGCCCGTGGTCGGCGTCGTGCCCTGGCTGGTGACGGGTGTGACACCCTGAGGTTCAATTAGCGCGACCGAGGGCCTGGCTGGTGCTGCCTGCGGAAATCCAGGACTAGATTATTCAGCTCCGTTTGTCATATCAATTAGCCGAGTTGGCCGCCTCTCCCGGCGCAGCGCGCAGCCCAGTTGCCAGTCATTAATCTTGCCATTACTAAACGTCACTCACTGCTTGTAACATTTCCACTGTGAGCTGCCGTACCACGCAAAACCATGACCCCCGATTGCGGAAAAAATAAGAATCGGAAGGAAATTTTCGTACTCTTTGAAGAGCATTGAGCTCGTATGCTTAAAAGCAACCGACCTAACCATTTTCCCAACAGGAAGAGATCCCAATGTCAGACATTGAGAGGGAAAGAAGGTCCGCGGAGATGTCTGATACGGTGGCTCGCGGGCCTTGGGTCTCCCCCACTGGTTCGTGGAACGAGGCCTCTGGCACCGCCTGGGCGCCTAGCCCGGCGGTGTTGCCCGAGCCCACTGCGTATTCACGGCGAGGCTACTACAGAAAGAGATTGGATCTGCCTCGCCTCGCGACTGCAGATAATTAACCCTTTGGCCAGCACGGCGCCACTGCCGGCGAACCGTTTTCGGAAGGCCCCATTTGGCTTCGAAATCGCTTCAGGACGGCCGCGGCCCAGAGCGAAGGGGCTGGTGGTACAGTGTGGCAACAGAGACTGACGGCGAATGGTCGTTGAGGGAGTCGAGTTTCCAAACAACGCGCAATTAATCAGAGTTTGGTTACCCTTTTTTTGTTAATCAGGTGTGTATTTATTCTATTCTAGATGGTCAGATACTGTGATGAGGGCGAAATAATGAGCACACAGTATAGCTTTATCGTGTGCCCACACACACACCCGTCCGCTGTAAACACACGGGCGCATGCGCGCGCCCAGGCAAGCAAACATCCACTGGAGGCACGCACAAACACACAGAGGGAGACCGCAGTCCGCGCAGCCGCCGGCAGCCAATCGGGGTGCAGGCAAGCTAGGGGCCAGCCAGGGGCCAGCTAGGGGCCAGCCAGGGGCCAGCCAGGGGCCAGCCAGGGCCAGCCAGAGGCCAGCCAGGGGCCAGCCGCCGGCCTCCTTGGCCTAATTTGTAGAGCCGAATGCCGGCCCACTGCAAACTCGAAACGGGCCAAGGGCCGCCGCCGAACCGCATGTCCGAAACCAGGGTATGCGTTTGCGTTGCGTCCTGCTTTCCGTCCTGTTCCGCGTATACACTGAAAATCGAAAGGTGAAGCATCTCTCATCCTTTTCATGAATAACCATGAATGTCTGACCGCAAAAGGGTGATAGTACTCGGATGTTTATGACCGTAGGTGATACTTCAATACATGACCAAAAAAGGGGGATGCTTTTTATATCGCCCTAAAGGGCGTTGTTTTTGTGAGAAAAACGAGAGAAAGTCCCGCATATGACTGACGTTTCTTACACTCATACATTGGAGTAAACGCTTTTTTTCGGTGGAACATAGTACTTATCGGTAATGCTTTTTGTATCGCCAAAAATTGGTCAGACGTTCTCACCCTTCGAATTTTAGCATGTCCGTGGAGGAGACGCATTTTTAAGTTAGATTTTTTTGTGCGTCGCAGAATACTCTGCAAGGCGGAAGAAGTAGGTAAACAGGACAAGCAAAAAAAAATTAACTAAAATATTGGGGAGATAAGAAAAAAGAAAAAGTTTGTAACACCGAAAAACTTTAATTTTTCCCCTCCCTCCGCCTGTGTGTCGTGTTTCTGAGGATGAGAATTTCGGAGCCTACCCCGGGATGAGGCTACGAGTCTCATCCCCCAGCAAGCTTCCCATTTGGTGGCTGCCTGGCGTCCCCATTGTGCGTTCAGGTTTGATTTCCACTGACGAGGCAGTACGGAGGTAATAAAGGCCTAGCCCTGGGGAAGGGGAAACGGGAGTGGGGAGGAGGAGGAAAGGGGAAGCTGGATTGCTTCGTAAAGGCCTATAGAGCCCCAACCCACCTCTGGGTGTAACGTGTAAAGGGAAATTGCTGGATCAATCAATGCCTGGGACGAGCATCCTGGTTTGTTACCCTCATAAACCTGTTGACACTGATGCCTCTCTCTAACATTTTCGCAGGGGTTTCCTTGCTCTCGTTTTATGTTTGACATTAAAGATGGTCCGATTTAGGGACCAAAGCGTCTAGTATTTCGGCCGCCTCCACCTGCCTTTTGGCCCAACTGTGTTCCGGCGTACCTGTAGCATGCTGACGTCACATCCCTTACAGCTGTCCAAGGCGTTTTTCTGACCACCTCGTATGCCTACAGGAACTGGTGGCCGCCTCCCCGGCGCAGCGAAACTGGCGGGGCATTCCTGATCGCGCTGCTGGTCATCGTGGCCGTGCTGGGGCTCATCATGTTCTCCATCGTGCTGCTGTCCCCGCCGGACGAGGGGCAGCGCTACAAGGGCGAGAAGCTGACGCTCAAGGACCTGACGGAGGACCTGTTTCTCGCGCCGCCCTTCAACGGCACCTGGATCAGCGGTGAGTGGCGATGCAGCAAACCCCGGAAAGTGACTTAGAAGCTTCGGGGTGAAAACGGTTTGCCCATCAACTCCCTGGAAATCGCGTATACCTTAACTTAGGACAACTTAGGAAACCGTTTTCACCGCATCCCTCGGGAGTTTCCGGAGACTTCGTTTCCTTCGATTTACTTCGGCCGGCCGCCTCCACCGGCCTTCTGGCCCACTGTGCGCCGCCTAGTCTCGCAGTGTACCTGCCGCGGGATGCTTTGTGCAGCGTGAACCCTTTGAGCGGCGCGAGCTTCTGCTAAAGCGCCGCAAAGCAAGAGCAGGCGCAGACAGGGGAGACATTTCAGTCCTCTCCTCTTCCTTCTTCTTCTCCTTGTCCCTCTCGAGTGTCTGCTCCGTGCCGCTGCGGAGAAGAGGCTCCCCGAGGCACTCAAGGGCCTTACCTCTGTGCGCCGAGCCTTAATGCATCGTGCAGGGCCTAGGCCGTGCCGTGCTTGGCTGTGTTGTGCTTTTTAAGTGCGGGACTCTCGTCACACTGCGCGCGCTGGAAGCGCACAGTGGGCCAGAAGACCGGCGCAGGCGGCCAAAACTCTAGACGCGTTTTGTGCTCCAAAGTCACTAAACAGGGCTCGAATCGAACGTGTGACCCCACCAATGGATTGCTCTCCGATCAAGGAATCCAATGGTGGGGTCACACGTACGGTTCGAATCCCGTTCAGCGACACTAGAGCTCAAAACGCGTCTAGAGTTTTGGCCGCCTGCGCCGGTCGTCTGGCCCACTGTGAAGCGCTGGAAGCACCGCCTTCCACTTTCCAAAGGGACAACCCACCACCAAACAAAAGCAAAACAGTAAGACCATCGAGGGGACCCTCCAGGGGGAAGTTTCCTTTGACGCCTTGCTCGCATTTTTGTCGTTTTTGTTATTGTTGGTTTTTACGAAATTCCGTTTGAAGGCGACGACGGTAGGGCCGCCGCACGCGATACGGGCGAATCGCTCCGGGAGGGTGAAGGGTTCTGCCGAGGCGCGGATCCAATGAAATTGAACGACGCAATGTCTCTGCCGCGAGCCGTTCCCTGCGATGGCGCCGTGTGCACACTGTGCAGACGGTTCACAGGCGTCTTTCGCCGGATCCGGAACTGAATATGGTGAGCGTTGTGGGACTGCCAACCCAAGTACACCCGAAAGGGGGGGAATTCTTGGGCAACCAAACGGGTTGCAGTGCTGGACCAAGCATTGAAAATAGACAGGTGAGACGTTTGGCTCTATAACGGGTGATACTGGAATGTATGACCACTAAAGAGTCGTACTACTAAAATCTCTGACCACAAAAAGGTCATATTTTTCGATGAATGACTGAAAAATGGTCATACTGTTTTGTATCACTGATAGAGGTTGGTATGTGCCCAAGCGTAAGATGGGCCAGTGTCGCTGATGTATGACCTTTTTACGGTCAAACATTTCCTTTTTCGGTCATACATTTTGTATCGCCAAAAATTGGTCAGACGTCTCACCCTCTGTTTTCAGACAAAATTCTTGGCCTTGGTTCTCCTTTATAAAACTGCTTCACATGATTTTTTTTTTTAATTTAAGTTTTTTCAAAGTTCTCGTTGGAGGCGCGCTTCAGAGGTCTCGCCTGGGTGGGCCGCCGAGCGGACCGGCGCGACGCGTGGAGATGAAGGGGAAGTCCCTGAGGACACTAAATGTTTTTGTACAAATTTTGTACGAGACATCACAGTTTTTTGTGCACACGAACTTTTCATACAAATTTATACAAAATTTTGTACAATTTTGTACAAAAATGGCGAAAAATGTGCAGTTTTTCGTACGAAAATTGTACGAAAATTTCGTGTGCACAAAACAGGGTAAAAACGCTTCCTGGAATCAGGAATCTCCTGAACTCCTATACCTTATAAATAGTCCTGGGAACCCAGTTTCGTTTTACGAAAACTGTGATGTCTCGTACAAAATTGTACATAACATTTAGTGTGAGGACCGCGGCCAAGGCGCCAAGGCCTGGCGCGGCCCAGGCCGAGGCCGAGGCGAAGGCCAACCTGGATTCCGCGCCTCGATTGAGTGCCAGATTGAAGATGGGGCGTGTCGCTGGCGGCGGCCGGGGCGATAGGGAGGAGGGGGGGAGGGGAGGGGGAAAGAGACGGCGTCAGCGACAAATGGAGGGAATATTTTCAGGTCCGTTAGACGCCCGGCTTGAGGAAACTTTTGTGTTTGGAAGGCTGTGCGTGCTGGGGGGGGGGGGGGCCTGGGTGTGGGTGGCGGCGGCGGCGTGGAGCAGGGTTGACGGTGGAATTCTATTTGGCAGCGTTTGAGCCAGGTAAGGCCGACGGGGTGGGTTGGGGGGAGGGGGCGTTTTCCTGGACAGGACACTTTGACAACAACGGTCCCGCCGTGGAGCACGCTAATACGACCATTGTGCGGTCCATTGTCCGGCCCATGGCTGCCCGGCCCGTCGCCACGCCCCATGAAGCACCCCCCCCCTCCCGCCGTGCCGTCGCATACAAGCCATTCGACGACCTATTTTTCGGGGGGCGTCCCCATGCCGCCCCGGCCTGGAGGATGACCCGCGCGGTGACAGGGAAGCGGAGCGCACAAAAGACAGTCGCGCAGAGGATGATTACGTGTTAGGAGGAGAGAGTGTCCGTCGTCTTATATTTCTGTTTTTGTTCGTTTGTTTTTTCTTATTTTAATTTTACAAGCTTTTTAAAACGCACTTTGAAAATATTACAGCTTACTGGGCCTCGCACAAAGAAATAATGAAAGCTTGTTATAACAAAATATTCTGAGCACACGTAAGCTTGCAACGAAAAACAAAAACTTAGCGACTCTGGAGCTCAAAACGCGTCTAGAATTTTGGCCGCGTCCACCGTTCTTCTGACCCACTGTGTAGCTTGTCCCGCTACACAGGTCGCCCGCAGGGACCGCCCGACACGGCGGCGCACCGCGGAATCAGCCGGAATCAACGCACCGCATAATGGAACAAGCCTTTGTACTCTGCTGCGCGCGCTGCATCGCGCACTCGATCTACATTTATACTTTTATATTTCTTTTTCTGTCGATTTTTTTTTTTTTTTTTTTTTTTTTGGGGCGTGGGAAGGGGGTGGAGGAGACGGAAATGTCAGCCGCAACACGTCTCGCATGTCATCGGCGCACTCTTTTCGTTTCACGAGTCATTGAACAAGGCCCCTCTGCTGCTTCACAAGCGTGGCCGCTCAAAAACAAACGGAACGAGCCCACGAGGGAGGGGGGCGATGTATATAATATTCATCTCTCTCTCTCTCTCTCTCTCTCTCTCTCTCTCTCACTCACTCTCTCTCACTCTCCTCCTCTCTCTCTCTCTCTCTCTCTCTCTCTCTCTCTCTCTCTCACACACACACACACACACACACACACGCGCGCGCGCGCGCGCGCGGCGCACTCTTTGAAAGTGGGCCGATTGTACCAGACAGCGAGGGGAAAGTGAAGCGAATTAGATTGATGGTGCCGACTGGTCCATCACACTCACTCACTCACACGCAGCCCCCGCCACCTCTCTCCTTGTTCGTCGTGTCCGTGTGTGGAGCAGTCGGGCTGTTTGTGCCCGGCAAGCGCCTCCAAGTTTGGACCCCTCTCCGCACCTGTACCCCCTTCCCCCCACCCCACCCCTCCCCTTTCCGTTTCCAAACGGCGGCGGCACGACGGCGGCGTCGCGCGCGCGGAGTTTGCCTAGCAAAATTTAGTTAGTCAGTTCTTGGGCCGGAAAGTTTTTGCGCGGACGCGCGGAGGCACGGTCCGCATCTATCGCGGCGTGGCGTGGCGGGGTGGGGTGGGGTGGGGTGGGGTGAGGCGGGGTGGGGCGGGGCGGGTCCAGTAGATTGGCGGCCACTCATTACTTTTAGGTCCGGTTATTTCGTTTGGCAAGCGCCGGTGGACTTCGGGATAGGCAGCACGCTACACATGGCTGCGTGCGGGAGGCCTGCCTGTCCCGCCTTTTCTCTCCCCACCCCGCCTCACCCCACCCCACCCCGCCGCGTGCGCGCAAAGGCCTGGCCACCCTGACAGCCCCCCCCCCCCCCCCCCCGCCCCATGGGCACTGTCCGGGAGCGGCGCTCTGGGGCACCCTGCCGCTGCCCGCTCTGCCTGTTCAGGGTTTCCGGGGTTTCCAGGCGTTTCCAAGGTTTCCAGGGTTTCCAGGCGTTCCCAGGAACCGGACGCGTGGTGCCCCATCCCGCTGAGGAGACGTTGGCCAAATTACGTGGAAAAGACGAACGGAAGTCAGAACGGTGTACAACACTTGGCAAACGACGGACCGAAACGGAACGCCAGAGTTTTGAAGCGTAGCACTGGAAGTTGTCGCTTTGGCAGCAAGATTAATACGCTCGTCAGTATGTTGACATGCGTTCGCTTGCAACCACTCATTTTTTTTCGTGTTTTTAGGCGATGTCCGTCAGTGGGTCAGAAGACCGGCGGAGGCGGCGGAAATGCCAAACGTGTTTTTGAGCTCCATAGTCGCTAAACAAGACTCGAATCGAGCCTGTATGATCCAACCGGTGGATTCCTCGCTCGCAGAGCAATCTATTGGTGAGGGTCACGACGTTCGGTTCGAGTCGCAGGTCACGCTCTTAAATCGGAAGCGCTCTTTGGTTTTTATAGCGTGGCCCGCGAACCAAACGGGTGTGCAAGCGCGCGCCTCGCGCGACACGGTTTGAACTCGAAACCCGCCCTGTGACGCTGCCACTCTCCTCGCTCCTGCAAAGTTTACTTTCACACACACACACACACACACACACACGCACGCACTTAGGACGCGCACTCACACAATCGGAGGCTCATTTCCATGGCGGGGTGTTAATGGGCCCCAAGGGATCCGAGGGGTCGGGGGACGGGGTTGGGGACGAGCGATGAGCTTGGGCAGTGCCCCCCCCCCCCAAATCCCTTTCCCCCAGCGGTGATCAACACACACACACACGGTATCGCCTGAACGTGCCCCTAGCTGTTGTTGTCAATGACGAATTCACCCG